CAGCCAAGGCCCGTAATAATTTAAAAAATCGATTATTTTTATATTTTTTTCTGGTGGCTGATGACGATTCAAAATTACACCGTGAAATTGATTGATTTGCGCGTTACGGCCAATAGACATTACCTTTATATTTTTATTCTCTTTCAGAAATGGTAGGATTCATTAAATTTGGTCCGAAAATAACTTTTTGGGGTCGAAGGGAAGTTCAATGTCGGCAGTAACGTGGAACATAGGAAGTACTAATTCATGCACAAGTACTATTATACTATACAGAGCATTGCGGAGAAACTCGGTCACAGCGACTGTTCAAAAATAATCCTCCCAATTATGGCGAGGTCGAGTCTCCGTACTTAATTGGCCAATTCTCGAATTGTTTCTGTAGCCAATAGAAAACGTATTTGTCTCTGATTGGCTCATCGTATATCAAACCTACCATCGCGACAGATGTATCAAACATTCATACAATTTGTACTTCGTTTAATCATTGCAAAATCCACACTTTTTAACCCGTAACCCAGTAACCCCGAAACCCCGACACCGCGTCCCTATCTCAAATGACCACAATTAAGCCTATTCCCAGGGTTAAGTTGAATCGCCAGTGGTTAGAGATAGCTAACCACTGGCGATTCAACTTACTGTTAACCCTTTGCAAGACTTCGTGATGCTTGTAGCCAATGAATGGGATTGGCTCGTGAATTTTTGTACCTACACTGTAGTTCAGAGGTGTAAAATACCTACTACTACTGTACTGTAATACTTTCTGACAGTTAGTACGCGGTACTACAGTACCGTAGTATCGCGGAAGGGTAAGTTAGTCTAGATATGTACCATGGAAGTTAGCTTTATATTATGTATTCGTGTTAGATTTACACCCTTCCTACTCTTCCTTCAACAGCAACACAGGATGGACTACCTTGATCAGTCTTGTGTGGCCTCTTGTAATTCCAAGCTTTTGAGACAGCAAATTAGTATTTCTGGAGAATATACGCGACATACTTGGCCATTCCTATAACGTTAACCTTATGATTTCCTACCCTACTTGTTTGTGATTACACGGCTGTCTACCAAGAAATGGTTTACCCTATGACGTTCAACAAAAATCGATCCCCCTTCACCGGAATTGGTGGAGGCACAACAATCATTTCATTTTCAATTTCACGGCTGCCATGGCAAGCCACGGCAACAATGAAGCGGCGGACTTGGAGGAACGCGTGTCGTACATCCACTCGAACACGGCCAAAGACGATGATGGGTACGTCGAAGCGAAATCACCCAAGGACCTGGAAGATGGGGCGCTGACTGAAGGGGGTGCGCTGGACTTGTTCTCCCGCGAAGCGTTTGCCCTGTTCATACAGTACGGCGCCATCGGGATCATATACAACATAATCCCCGCGCTCCGTTATCCCATCTTCAACATCTACCTCAACTTGGAGGGTTACCAAACGTCGTCGTACAAGGTGTTGACTGTGATCGGGTGGTCGTTCAAGGTCATATTTGGCCTGTTGTCGGATTGCTTCCCCATCTATGGCTATCGTCGCAAGTCGTGGATTTTGATCGGGTGGACCGTCACGATGACCTGTCTGAGTGTGATGGCGTTTTCGCCGTTCGGCGAGCCGTTTTGCAACCGCGAAAAGACCAAGTATTGTGGTACACCGTTGGAAGAGGTGCCAGAGCACGAGCTGCAGTACTTCAACTTCTCCGCCCCCGACAACGGCACGCTGTTCATTCTTCTGTCGATGTTTATTGCGTTTGGGTACGTCTTGGCTGCGAGTGCGTCGGACGCGATGGTGGTCGAGTACGCCCAGCGAGAACCCGTTGCCATCCGAGGCCGCATCCAGACCGCCACCTACACAGTGCGCTCGGTCGCAGGCAGCCTCTCTTACTTGGTGAGTGCGTTCGGGCTGAACGGCCCCAACTACGGCGGGTCGTTTTCGTTTGCGTTGTCGCCGAATGCTCCGTACGGCATTGCCTTGGCGCCGTGTGTTCTGGTGGTGCTCTCCACGATATTTGTTCTCGTGGAGAAGAAGTCTGAGCCTGTGTCCTTCCTCCTATGGTGGGGCAGGTTTTGGGAATCTCTCAAGAGTCGCGTGTTGTGGCAAGTTTGTTTGTTCCGATTCCTCAGCAACGTGTTCAATGGCGTCGGCACCACTGCGACATTACCCATTCAGACGTACTGGGCGGGAGTCGAACCTCTCAACGATGCGCTCTCGGACATCATTGGCAGTTTGCTGTTAGCTACTGTTTTGGTGATTGTGGGCAAATGGGGGCTTCACTGGAATTGGCGCTGGACCATCGCCGCCGGTACCCTCGGGATGGTCGTCGTCGACGGCTTTGTCGTGTTCTTGACCATCTGGAACGTCGTGCGCAACCAGTGGTTCTTCAATGGAGTGGGGTTGGCCGAGAAATTTCCTTA